CTTTTGTGGTGCGAAGCATCTTTAAGTTTTTTCGTGACAACTATAAGGAAGTTAATCACGAATTATCCTGTTTCCTTTTCAAAAAAAACCTTGTTCGGTTTTTTTTAACAACGACCAATTCCTGTTTTTATAATTCACGTAACGTCATAAATAAAAATTTTCTTCATCAAATAAATAACAACACGGTTGACTAATTTTGATGCTCGGAAGAATATATATATAAGTGATTGAGTCGTGTGATTTTATAATAATTGTGACATCAAAGATTTAATTGCTATGATGGCATGATTTCATGGTTTGAATGTCCTATTATATGATTAAAATTTAATAAAATAGACTATTGTCTTGACCCAAGTGATGTGATTTTTTTGCTCTTTGCGATGAAGAAGACGCAATCCAATCCCAACTTAACTTTAATGTTAACGTGATGTTAAATCTTTGATCTCGCGTAGCACGGCAAAAGCTCACGTTGCCTTTTTACACTAATATGAGACAGCGGCATGGAAAATTTCCCATTTATTTATGTTAAGCAAGGAAATATCAACCACAACACATAATATCAACAATCATAGTGCCTTTTAGTCTTTTACACTAATTAAAGATGTTCCCCAAAAGCCTGGTACTTTGATTATTTTGTTTCTTGATCATCTTGTGTGATGTTAATATATACATAAAAACAGAAGATTTGGTGATCACATATTATTAATCGTAATTTTACCTCAGAGACGCATATATAAGTGATTTAATCGTAAAATTCAATATATTTATTAATTTGCAAAAGCTTTTAATGTGCCAGTTAGACTAAGAAACATATTCACATCTGTTCATACAAAATAAATTTCTGCATATTATTAATATTTTATAATTATTCCCAGAATAAGATAAATACATAAATTTAATTATTTCACTCTTTTTTACGCCATTTACGAGCATGATTATCTTCGTAGTGTTTCATGAAAGTGTAATCATTTGAGAAAGTTGCACCGCATTTAGGACAGTTAATTGTTTCATCACTTTCTGATGATGATGATTCCGAGGATTTCTAATCATGAAATACATGAACTTATAACAAAAATAACAAAAATTAATAAATTACAACATAGAAAGTAATAAAACTTACCTGTGAAATTGCATCATCAATTTTCTCTACTTCAAGTGTGAATCCTGGCAAAACATTGCCACCATTTACATTATTCCAGCCATGTGAAGTTCGATAAACAACCCTATTAGCCCTCCGTCTGTAAATATATATCTGCTTATTTTGTGGGTCCACTAACCAACCAAGCTCAACTGACGAGCCCGTTGCAAAGTAAACTTCCCTGAATTTTTGATCTAAATCATTGAATTCTTGGTATCCTTCTTGAGTAACTGCGACCTCTACAACGCAGGTAGGCGTAAATGGCTGACCCATGAAGGTCCATTGTTGTTGATGATTAAGTGAACGGTAAATATTCTTTGGGATAAATGCAACATCAGGTGTACGAATTGCCCGTTGACCAGAAATTTTGAAATCAAATCCACCCTGAGATGTAGTGATAATTCCATTTTGACGAGTCTGCACATTCCAATTGCTAAGTTGTCTAGAAATTTCACAAACTACAGCTTCCTTACTTATCGGATTTTGGGGCATTGGAAGGATTTTTCCTTTATTGAACTCAAATAGATCCACAGGGGTCTCGTTGATCTCCAAGGTATGTGTCTTTAATTGTTCATTAATGAATTCGAATTCTTCAAACGTGTAGGTACGGTTTAAGTCTAAGTGGTCAAGATCTATTTTGTGGCCGTTGGCTTTAAGCATGTTAATTTTAAAAGATTTTATATTACACAAGCACAATGATTGGCCATAATATACGTACCATCAAGTATTCCAAGGCCTTTCAGAATCCAGATAATACCCTCGAATTCGAGATAACCGAGGTAAGCGATTAAGGCAATCAATAAATAAACGCAGGCAATAAAAAAGAACTAAAAGAAGTTTAAGTTATTTGCGTAATCTGAGAAAGTAATTCAACCTAACAGATATTGCATACCACAACTCCAGCAGTAATAATTACAAAAAAGATTATTGGAAGACCGATAAAGGTGGCTATTATAATGAAACAATAAATGTAAGGCATTAAGATCGAACTTTAGTAGTGGCAGCATTTTTTAGATATTATATATATATAAAAATAACCGGATCAATCATGTAAAATTACACAATGATCATTGATATGTTGATTAATGTATTTATTAGCATAGATGTAATAAAATTGATTAACTAGTTTATGTTAAAAAAAATCAAAAAAAAATTAATAATTAAATGATAATTTAGCAAAAAAAGAATAATATTTGTGTCTGTTTGTTTCTTTAGTGCATAAACTGTAATAATTAAATAATTAAACACATTTTATTTATCATTATTAAAAAATTATAATCTAGTATATCTAACGGATACACTGTGAACCAACATACCGACATACAAGGATGTGTTTTGCATGTTCTACATAGGTCACCGTATTCTAAAGATGACAATTAGGTTATTATTAATATTTGTTATTATTATTTGTTACCATCATCATCATTATTATTGCTACTAATTAGATTTTCGAGGAACACTTTTGACACACTATGGGTTTCTTCATAAATTAGTCCAGAGATACATTTCACACCTCCCTATATGCAAGTCTCCTGAAATCCGGCTTAGTAATTCCTTGATATTGCCTTGAAATGTCTTATGATGATGCTTCGTTCCTCCTCTTCCGACACCAATTTATATTATTATAATTGTTCTGTTGTAAAAAATAAATAATTGACAAAACAGAAGAGTTTGTTAAATACTTACATTGTCATTTACAGTATCATTACTAAATAAATAATTATTGTTATTGGTATTGGTATTATCAGTATTATCAATTTCACCATAAATATCACTACGAGATAAATAATTTACATTGTTATTGTTATTGTTACTATCAATATTATCAATTCCATCATAAATGTCACTATAATTATCATTATTAACACTTGATGTTTCTCTTTTTCTGCATTATAGTATCTATTAAAAATATCATATATGTTTTTTAAAGAATGTTCTAGTGAATATATTGTCTCTTTTTCTGTTCCTAAAATTTCATACATCTTTTCAGACGTCAAATTGTGAATTGTTCCAAATTCCACCTTGTCATATCTTTTTCTATGGTTATTTCACTCCCCCCCAAAAAAAAAAAAATAATCATAAGCCCTTTTCCTCAGCCCAATTCCAAATAACTTACCATTTAATGTTATTTTGTTTTTAATTGATGATGCAACATCCAAAATGGTCGCAGTTGAATTATTATTCCAGTAGGGCATTTGACCAGATGGATGCAAGGTTAGGGGTAGAAGTAACTGGCTCTAAAAATATCAATTAATTGCAGACCTTTCCCCGCTAAATAAGCCCTGCTTTTTAAGAGTGTTAACCAAAGAGAAAAAGAATTGAGCTTATTTCCACTCTTGGATTATATACATATGACATATTTTCACCTTTATCATAAACCAAGTAAATTGAGCTTCTTTTAAGATCAAGACGGATTTGAAGTTTTCTAGAAGGCAATTCAATATTTTCTTTAAGAACATGTTTACTGTTAATGTCATAAACCAAGGAATTCAAAATTAATTCTATCAAGAGAAAGTTGATACAAATATGAAAAATTTGACTAGGGAATTTTGATGTAGAAAGAATATGTACGTGTTTTGCGTTTTATTTATTTGCATTTGTGCGTGTAACATTGAGTAGCCCTAGCTAAATACTAACACATCTGAAAAAAAGAAATAGAAATCTGTCATGTCGAAAAAACAAATCCTCCCTTCAGTTCTTAAAAAACGTGTAATAATCCATATTGATATGGATTGCTTTTACTGTCAAGTTGGTAAGTAAAAAAGAATTTTTTTATATTAATGATTTCATTAGTATTTAATGTTTTGTAAAATTTCATGATACATGTGAAAAGAGCAAGTAAGATTAGGCATTCCCTCAACTTTACCAGTAGCTGTGCGACAATGGAATGCTTTAATTGCAGGTTCATTGTTATTATTACTATTTATTATTAAGAGTTATGATTTATATATATATGTACATAATTCGAAATTCAATCACTAATATAATATTATAATTAGTTAACTATGCTGCGCGTGAAGCAGGCATAAAAAAGGTATCCAATATTCAAGATGCACTTAAAATATGTCCTGGTAAAAATTTATTAAATAATAATTAATTATCTTTTTTAATTAATCGTGCCTATAATATGCGTGATTTATTAACCCCCCTCCTTATAGGATTGAAACTTGTTCATGTTGCAACATATGCAAATGGTGATCCAGAGCCTAAATATTATCCAAATCCAAGTTACGGTACTCATAAAGCTTCATTAGATGTTTATAGGAATGCAAGTTTAAGAATTTTTAAAATTTTTATGAGATATTGTAATATGGTACAACGTGCAAGTGTTGATGAGGCTTATCTGGATGTAACAAATATTGTTAATCAAAGAATCGTGGAAAGATATCCAAATCTTTTATTACCAGAAAATTTAGAAGATGGGGAACAAGTTCCACCTATTTTAGATTGGAATGGATTAGGAGTGTTGTATAGAAGCCAAATAAATAATGATATTGAAAATAATAATAACAATCCAATTGAATATTTGGATGAAATCTATAGTAATGGAAATAATGAAAATATTAATAATGATAACATTAATAATAGTAATAATAGTAATAATAATGAACAAAAGTCTGGTTTAGATCAATTTTCATATAATGATGAATCAAAAGGTTGGGATGATATGCAACTTTATATTGCAGCAGAAATATCAAAAGAAGTTAGAGAAACTATTTTCAACGAATTGGGATACACATCTTCTGCAGGAATCGCGCATAATATGACGTTAGCAAAGTTATGTTCAGCATTAAATAAACCAAATATGCAGGTAATGATTTATATGATATTGTAATGAATAAACGGCTATATAATATATTTTATGCTTTCTCTTTAAATCATTATTTCATCTTATTTATATATTACATTTTTAAAAGACTGTTATACGATCTAGCCAAACATTGGGTTTTATGCGAAATTTGCCATTTCAAAAAATTCGTAAGCTTGGTGGTAAATTAGGAGCTGAAGTTGGTAATATTTTGGGGATAGAAACTGCAGGAGAATTATGGTTTGTGATTTAATACTAATGTAGTTTTTCTTAATATATAAAAAGTTAATATCTATTACTATTTAATTGATTGATTATAGGGGTTATTCAGTAAGCGAATTACAAGCAAAATTTGGGATGGCATATGGTATTTGGCTTTACAATATATGTAGAGGTGTTGACAGTGAAGAAGGTTACTATTATTCTTTAATTTCTTTTTATAACTAATAAATCTATTTAAATTTATTTTTAAGAAAGTTTATTTGTATTTATATTATTAGTTGTTCAAAGAAATATCTCAAAATCAATGATGGCAGCCAAATCATTTAAACCACCATTAAAAAGTTTATCCCAAGTTGTACACTGGTGTAATATTTTAAGCTCTGAATTATATAAAAGACTTTTAGATGATTATGAAATAAATAATAGATGGCCAAAGACTCTTACAGTAAAGTTAATTTCTTATTTCGTTAGTTGATTATTAATTATTGAACTTGATATTTTAATATTTTGTTTTCTGTTTTTTAGATACAATATAAGTGTATTAATGATTCAACATCGCATTCTAAATCTTGTACATTTCCTATTCGGTCAGAAGTTGATTCACCTGATTTAATTTCAAAAAGGTTATATGGTCTTCTTGGAAATTCAGATAATTTGTTTCCATGTTCAAGATTATCAGCTTCAGCTATAGGTCTAATTAAAGATCAACTTACTGGAACAATGGATATTACTAAATTTATAACAAAAAATTTGCCAAATAATAAAGATTCTTTTGGAAACAATAGCCATAATAATAATAATATTGTAACTGATATTGACGATGAAATGAAATTAGAATCCTCACACACTCAAGGATCATCAATTAACCAAGAACCGCTAATTAATCAACAATTTTTAATCAATCAAGAATCACTATTTACTCAAAAATCTTTAGTCAATCAAGAACTATTAATTAATCAACCTTTTGTAATCAATTCCAGTGCTGCTACACTCAATGGATCTTCCGATTCCCAAATTATTTCTGAAAATGCCCAATCATCATTACCATCAACCAATAATATCAATGTAAGTATTAAAAGATTGAAATGTTCATGTAAAAAATATAAATTTATGCAAATCAGCATTTTATCAAGAATAGTTTTCCAGGAACTAATTATTCAACTAACAATAATGTTAAATGGTAGTAAAAAATCAAATATTTTAATATTATCAAGATCTAATTTATAAAAATTTTCAAAGTTAAGGGAATCTTCTACTCCAAATTTGAAAACTACAAGATTGCTCAATATGAAACCCGCCACTACCACAGGATTAAGATCATCATCATCTACATCAAAATCAAAATTGAAGTCATCATTTAAAAAAAATTCTAGAATACCATCATCACCATCCAATAATACTATTCTTCAATTTTTCACCAAATTAGATCCAAATTTATTTATCAGATGTGAAAAATGTTATCGACCAATATCCAATGATAAATTAGCTGAACATTTAGAGAATTGTAGTAATGAATCTAATAATAATTTAAGAAAAAGGAATAAGGATATTAGAAATTATTTTCAATTGGAAAATAAAAGTTAATGGTATACTTAAAATATATATATATATATATATTTATAATAAATTATTTTAATCTTGAAAAAAAAAAAGAGAATCTTTAAAATTTTAAACAAAAATAACTGAATTATGAAAAATGTGATCTAATTGACTAATTTTAATAAAGAAAATTCATAAAATTGTCATTATTCTTTATATGTTGATGGATGTTCTATTGGTCTGGAGGGTATTCGTGTAAGTTCTTTCATTATAAGGACATCAAGAAAGCAAGTACTGGTATACAGCTATATTTTTCTCTCAGTTTCGTGGAACCAGTAATCACAGTTTAATTTTTTCTTCCATGTTAATTCATTGGTACTTGAATGTTCTGGTAAACTATTTTCAGCATAATCTAAAATCACAGTAAAAGTATCAAGAGCAAGGTCTTGTATTAAACTAGCATAGCTCATAACATTGTCATGGGCTGAAACTTTACAATACTTTTGTGCTGTATAAGTAAATTTTTTATTTAATAAGATTTAAAAAAACATTTATTTATTTATATTCGATAATTGACTCGTCGCACTTTTAACACGTTTACAAAAGAAGAATCTTTTTCTACTCAAATATCTATTGGAAAAAAGCAAACCATTTTTTCCCTCTGAAAAATTGTTGGCTTATTGGGTTTTGACTGTAATATTAATTAGTATAATATTAATATTGATATTAGTATTAGTGTTGGTGTATTTTTATACGGATATCCAGATTTTGCAATCCAGCCAGATACAAACTCTAATTGCAAGTTTGTCTGCTTCTTGGTAGCTTAGATTTCCTTAGCTGGAACTGGAATAATAAATTCAGATAAGCAATTGTCTATTAAAGATATTTTTATATTGATTAAATAATGGTCTGTAGACGATTTCCTTTTTAGAAACAGTCAGTTAGTGAGTTTTGAAGGTTTTCGCAAATAAGAAAAAAATCAGCAAAATTTTCATATTAAAATATCAAATGGAAAAAAAATTTTTATTCCAAAATTAGAATTTTTTTTTATGCTTTTATATTATAATGTTAAAGAAGAAAACCACCAAGTATATCAGATTGTGCAAGTGCAAGAAGTAAGGGATCATCAAAAAACTGTAAATATTAAAATAATTTGCAATTAGCAACAAAAAAAAACAAGTGATTATTAAAATTAATTGATAAAATTAAAATTATCAAACCTTGTTGGCAGAAACATCTTCGGATAAACCTTTACGTCGTCTAGTTTTAACCATAAAATCTCTTGCTAAATGTTGAGCAGGACTAGGTTCTAATGGTTTAAGTACAATTGATTTATCTAATGGATCTCCAGGAACAATCTAATTTAATAATAATAAAATGTTATTAATAATGTTGACATTATTATTTATTTCAAATGTCATTTATTAAAATTAATTCATACCTGCCAATGATCAAACATTTGTTGACAAAATGCTTGACCTTGTGTATGAGTTCTCATATCAGTTTCAAAACCATTAGCTTCTATTACTGGAATGTAGGCTTTAACAGTGTACAATGGTGAACCCGGTTTAGGAATATCTTGTGTTACATGTCCTCTAGAAGGATTTTATTTATTGAAATAATTGAACAAGTCAAAATTATGTAGGATTAAATGATTCGTTGATTGATTTATTAAATACCTTCTTCTTGCTAGGACTGTGTATACAGCCGATACACAATCTGCTGGCGCTTGTATCTCAACATAGTAAACGGGTTCCATTAATCTTGGTGTTGCCTAAATAAAGAATAGTTTAAATTAATTAATCATTAATTAATCAATAAATCTATTATTAATCAAATATTAAATACCGTCAAGAAAGAAGAATAACAGACACGTCTTGCAGTAGGAATGATTTGGCCACCACCTCTATAAATAGGTTCTGGTGCAAGAACTGCATCCAATATTCTAAACTTTACGTTACGAATTGCTATTTATTGAAGAATTAGAACAAAGATGAAAATATGAGGATGTGATATGCATTAGTAGAGCGAGGAGTGAACATATATAACTGATAATTGATTGACTAACGTTCATCACATAATGGCCCTTCACGAGTTCCCCATTGAAACCCTTGTCTTACTGAATCCCTGATACTTTTTAATAAATTTTTATCCACCTATATATTATATATATATAATATCAATTGATTAGTTAACTGTCCACATTAAAAAAAAATCAAATTATTAATTATTTATATATACCTCTGAAGGTAAAGTATCATCGACCAAAATATTGGGACCATTTTCATCAGGTCCAAAAGCCCATATAGAACGAGCAGCCAGTACATCCCATGAATATTTTTCTTCAAAATATTTTGCAATATCTTTGATTGGCCATTTTATACTAACTTTACCAGACTCGATATCTTCTGCTATACCTTTCTCTAACGGCTCTGCTATCATTGTTAATTTGTTCCTGTAAACAAAAAGGTTCATATTATATCACATGTGTAAAATCAACAAATCAACAATTAATTTATTTACTTTTTATTTGGGGTTTCTGCAAAACATTTCAAAGCAGAGGTATCAACCACTGTTTCACAGAATCGAACCACCGGATCAGAAACTTTAAGTTCGATTTCAGCATACATTCTACGAAGATCATGAAGGACACAATCCAGATATAATTCTCCTGTACCAAGTATTATATGTTCTCCAGATTCTTCAACCTATATATATTTAAAAAATTGGATGGAGAAAAAAATACAATAATAAGAAAACTAAGTATATAAATAAATATAAATATAAATATAAATATAAATGGTTACTTTTGTGATTAGAATAGGATAACTTTTATTTATTTTTCTTAAACCATCCAACATTTTGGGTAGTTCTGAGGGATTGACAGGCTCAACAGCCACTTTAAGTACAGCAGTAGTGATAAAAGACAATGGTCTAAAAATATATAAATCCTCATCGATATTCTTTTCAGTTATTGTTGCTGTCTTTACTATTGAATTGTCAACACCACCCAATAGTACCCAACTTCCTGCTGGCATTCCACCAACTTCAATTCTATATCTAGATTCGAATATCCAGACATTAGTGACATCCTGTATGGTCATATCTTCCTCATCTTCTGTTGAGTAACCCTCACCAAGAACTCTTACAGATTGACCTTTTCTAATTGTACCACTCATGATACGACCGAATGCATCAAATGTTGAAGCATCGGCTGAATTATACAATTTGGTAATGTATATCATCAATGGACCACCCGAATCACAATTACGCATTGACTCTACCACCGTTGAATCCATTGTTCCTGTGTAAATATGTTCAACCTAATTATTTTTTTCAAAGAAAAAAGTATTTATTATTATTATCAATAAAATTGTAATTATTATTATAATAAATAAAAAACATTAAAAATTAAATACTTTTTTGGCAGCGTTATCTTTTGGGGATGGAATGTGTTCAATTACCATATCCACAAAACCAATTGGAGGACCAAAAAATTGATCTAATATTATTCTAAGCAATGGTTTGACATCCAATTGAAAATGTGATGCTTTTAAGCAAATACCCAAAGATGCTAATGTACGTTTCAATGTATTTTCATCTTCCCCAATAACCTAATGTAATATTTATGTAATGTATATAGGTATATGTGAATATATATGAATATAATAAACTAATAAGTTTATATAACAAATAAAACCGTTACCTGAGCATATAATTTGAATAAAGGTTCTAAGATGAAATGAACAAAAGAGCGTTGACTATCTCTTTCAAGACTTTTTCTACTAAAAGATTTTTTTATAGGATTATAATAAATATCACCCCATAAACGTTTTGCAAACTCGTCAGGGTCTATATCGCCTAATAAAATCAGTTATTAAATTAATCAATCAATCAATCAATCATTATTATTGATATAATTATAATTGTAAAGTTATGCTTTTACCATAAGCATCGGAATAAAGTTTTGCAAAAGATCTTAAGGAAAAACACCATCCCATCTGACTAGAAGCAAAACATACATTTCCACGTTCAGGTGACACACGAATATCTTGACCTGGGGCGTATTGGCTAATGCAGGCATAAATTGCAAGAAAGAATGGAAAGAGGAAGAGAAAAAGGAATAAGAGAGAAATTAATTAATTAGTTTTTGTTTATTCATTATAAAAATAAACGTAATTCCAACCTAATCACTGTATTAACTTCTTCGATTGTATGTTTAAGTTTAAAGTAAGCATCATTGGGAGGCAGTCTCAATTCCAATATTAATCTATCGACTTTATTAACCACTAATGTGAATGACAATTTTTCTTGTATAATATGCTTTATTATACGCTCTGTGTTAGCCATGACCTATGTAATATATATGAGAGATATAAATACACATTAATTATAAATAATGCGCTAGTATTCTATAAATCATCAACTAAACCAACTAATTGACTAACTAACCCCTTCGATGGCATCAACAATTAGAATAGCACCATCAGCCAATCTAAGTGCAGCTGTAGCCTCGTCCACAAAATCAGCATGTCCTATTATAATTTATAATAATCGTAATTATAATTATTAAAATTTAAAATAATATTCAAATTCGCAATCATAGTCATAATATCCATCTTTACCTGGAGCATCTAGAATATTGAATAGATAAGATTTTCCTTTAGTATTTTGCAAAACAAGAGTCATTGGCATGCTTTTTATACTAACACCACGATCTCTTTCTAATATATGTGTATCAGTGTAACGTTCCTATATTTATTTTTATTATTATAATTATTATTATTACTACTATTTTTATCTCCAAGTAAAATAAATATAGGCAAGCAATAATGTTAATAATAATAATGCTATTTAACCTGTTTATCAACATCCCAAGCTACAGAAGTATGTGTTTCATATATCAACATATCAACAAATGATGTTTTTCCATGATGTACATGACCCACAATAGCAATATTTCTCACTAATTCAGGAAAATTCATCATATCCACTAAAAATCTATAAAAAATATTATTATTATTATTATTATTATATTGAATAGATATTAATTATTTAAATACAAATAAATTCTTATCATGTAGTAATATTACTCTTTTTTAAATTTAGTTTCAGGTAAATCTTTTTCTTGAATTTGAAATTTTTTTATTTTTATAGGTTGAATTATTGGTTCAGATAGAGGCTGAGTGTCTTCTTCTTGAACCAAAGTTTCAACTTCAAGACCATAAACTTCTTCAGCACTTGGATAATATTTCTTGTCTTCATGAAGCACAACCTGATTTGAAGGAATATCTGAAACAATTTAATTCCCCAGCTAACATCAGTTGGATATATATAAATAGTAGAAATTTTTGAAAGATCAGGATTTGAAAGAACGCACATACACATACACATGTATATGCGCGTGGATGTGTCGTATAATAAACATTATAAAGATTTTGAAAATAATAATGGGTCTTATAATGATGATAATAATGAAATTGTGAATGAATTCAATTCATCAGATAATTGCTAAAAAAATGAGAGAGGATAAATAGTAAACGTATATTTACCTTCTATTTCCATTAGAGCCATGCCGGAAGTCACCTCAGTCTCTTCATATTCTTCTTGATCCTCAATTTCTTGCATTGGTTGAACAACTTGTTCTTCTTCCTCATCGGTATCAGGTAATTCTGGCCCAAGATAATTACCAAATTCATCATAAAGTGAATCATCCATTATTTGATATTGCTATTGTTGGATTTTGTTGATACGATATTTTAGAAGAAATGTAGTATAATTTATAATAGTGTGAAGATGAAGAAATTCAAAAATTTTTTTTGTTTACAAATTGATTGATTTTCAAAATTTTTTACCTTGATTGTTTTTCATCGAAATGGAAATTAATGTGACAACAACAATAGTAGCTATATTGAGTATAAATATATTGATAGCATTGGGAGGGATGACGTTAAATAATTTATAAATTAAAAAGGTTACTGGATCCTTTGAAGGTATGGAGAAGTTTGAATTGTCCAATTGTCCATAAATTAGACCATTTTTGTATTCATACTTGATAAGTTTTGTTAGCCTATACTCGGAAAGTTTCATGCATTATTTTAAAGAAAAAGCAAATCGGAGTAAAGGTGGAGGTGAGAACAATATTTTTTTAAAATGATTTATATTGCATGTTTTATGTATTATTGTAAAGACATGGGGGTTGCAACTTTGGATAAAGGGTCTGTTCAGGAGTATTAAAGATTAATTGTGGAATAATAACAAATAATAATAATCAATTTATTAATTAATTATTAATATTGCCTTGTTGGTTTTTAATCTATAGGAACAAAGAAAAGTACATAACCCATTTAATAGTATGCCATGCAGAAACAGTCAGAGGATTAACATTTAATGAAAACATGAAGGAATTATTACAAAAATTAGTATTGATGTGAGTTGAGTGAGTTCTTGTTGTTATTAGTATTGATTAATTGTAGGAAATAATAAATTAATATATTAGTATCAAAGAAAAGCAAGAGATAATTTGTTATTATTATTGTGATATTATGATGTCATAAAACCTTTTCATAGCATTAAATGATTGAAATGTAGGAATTTACAATAGGTGAGCAGGAAGTGGAAGCTATCATTAATATTAAAGATGAGAGATTAGACACTGTTGCTAAAGCAAATGTTACATGGCAAATAAATAATACATAAAAATTAAGAAATTTATTATTTAATTATTAAATCAGGTTTGAAAATATAACAATAATAATAATAATAAATAATTATAATCATTATAATAATATTTAAACAAACAATCAATAGAAATATGAAGGCATAAAATTGAGTTTTAAATTTTAAAAATATTATTATTATTACTAAGATTATTATTAAGGATATTATTTTATTACCATTAACATAATATTATAGTAATAATAATAATAAGTACTCACAAATAATTGGTGACAAACACAATGTTAAAGAAAATAAATAAGATTATCATAGTAAATATATAAAATCGTTTTCCCACCCTTGTATAATTACAAAGAAACTTACTATGATATAAAATGTAATGGCCATTGTCATAGTTTACTTTTTCATCATTATTATAATCATCATCATTGATGTCATCATCATATTTCTCAATATTATCATGCAAAACTTGACTTGGATGACCAATGTAATCTTTCAGATCTTCAAGAAAATCTTTAGTTGATTAATTATTAAATAGAAGGTGCAAATTCAGGTTCTGGGAATGACAAAGGTGGATGAAAAGCTTTTGTTGATGACAATCTTGAGTGAATCAACAATAATGGAATTATCATTATAATCATAATTATGTTGATAGTCATAATGAGTGCTTCCACCCAGAACACTCCATGGCTTGTTGCTTGCGCACAAATATAAGTAACTTCTATCATCATCATCCAACAAATTATCATAATTAGAAATAAAACTCCAAGATACTTGATTTTGATGGTACAATTACTATTCTGAATAGGGCTCTAATGATTCGAATTACCTAGCTTTTGATTCAAACTAATCCGAGCTTATAAATGATTTTATTTGACTTGGTTCTAATCTAATTCAAATATATAATCATATGAAATAGATTGAGTTTAAAAGAGTTGTCTTTGGAAATAAATGGTTTCGAAAGTCAAAAAAAAACACACACTCCACTTCCTGTTCTTCTTTGAACCATATCGCATTGTGCCTGTTGAAGAGGTATCATCTTCAACAAACGTTAAAAGAAATTTAGGAATCCGGTTTTATTCAAATTGAATTGAATCGAGCCACGAATCGAACCAAGTCGGATTGAGCCCAGTTTTTTGGAATTTGATTCGTTCAGTGCCTTGGCTCTGAAGGAGTGAAGAAAACGAGAATGAGAAATTTGCAAGTTGTAAAATTATAAATTGTGAGAAAAAAATCAAGTTGGAAAAATAAAAAGCGAGTCAACGTATTTTTTACCTTGGGACAATAATAGTAATATTGTTCGTTTATTGTTTTTCTTTATTAATATTAACTGACTACTGTTTAAAATTTTTTTTTATTATTGTCATTGATTATTTTTGAATAAGTGCAGACCATTTTTTCAATTTGAATTGAATATGGTCCAAATTCAATGTTTATAATAATTCTTGAACAATGCTTTAATGCCAGAAATTCTTGATACCACGATCAAGAACAAAGGTATTTTATTGGTTGCACGTGACACTAATAAACGAGATTTTTTTTTTACAACGTTGTTAGTTTTGCAATCCATCAATACTCATGGCCTAGAAATTTTTAATTGAGAATAATTCAAATCAAGTGTCTGTAGTTTTTCTAATCAGGGCGCAACGTACAGGAAACATACTTTCGTCAACGTTCAATGTTATGTCAAATCACTGAATTTTATGAACAGTCAGAGCAAATGCATTCTGAAAAGGAAATTGTTTTCTCTGCCGTAAATTTCAAAATTAAGATGTTTCTTTCTTCCGCCGATCGTTCCTTCGGTGAAAGTTACGTTTTTAATAATAATAAAACAAGAACAGAACACGTTATCACGATTATTATTATTATTATTATTATTATTATTATTATTATTATTATTATTATATATATACCATTTTACCACGATTTATATGTGAATTTAACGTTGTCAAATGATAATCAATTGAATTTGGGTATTTTCGAATTATTACGTTTTTTAGTAGTATTAATGGTGGGAGAAGTTCAAAGAAGGCATAATATTAAAATCAACACCGGATTGTTCCGTTTTTTTAGTGGCAGGGAAAGTATTTTCCTTACATTTTCCAAAAAAAAAAAAAGCATTGTTATTTAAACATTGACATAACAAATAAGCATCTTCTTTACATTTTTTGATTGATTTCCTTTTTGACAATAATGAATTAATTCCGAATTGTTTAGTGGCGGGGAAAGTATTTTTGAAAAGGGCTTGATTTAGTTAAATGAATTACAACTGATGATGAAAAAACGATCAATGATCAGTTTTTTTATTTATTTATTCCTTTTCTTTTCGAAAATTTCCAGAGAGATAATAGTACTATCATCAAATATTGCCAATCCTTTCTAAATTCTTACAAAGTATGTTGCACTGATTTTAAATAATTATTTTTTATTATTATTAATTGTATATATAAAAAAAATGTTTACAGGTATTGTAGAACATATAGGAGAAATACTTGAAATTTTAGCTTTAGATAATTCAATTAGTGGTGGAGGTGGTTGGTCAATGAAAATCGGTAAAGCTGGACCTGTTTTAGTTGATTGTAAGAATGGTGATAGTATTTCTGTCAATGGTTTGTGTGATTTTATAATCATAATTTGTGAATGATAGATTAATTGATCAATTTGGGTTTTTATTATTATTGTTAATTATTATTTTAAATTTTCTCTTGTAGGGACTTGTCTGACCGTGACAGAGTTTGATATTTCAGCTTCATGGTTTAAAGTTGGACTTTCACCTGAAACTCTTAGAAGAACAAATCTTGGAGAGTTGAAAGTTGGTGACAAAGTAAATTTAGAAAGAGCTTTATCATTTAATGATAAATTTGGTGGGCATTTTGTACAAGTAAGTCTAACCAATCAACCAATTAAATAATAATAATATTTTACAATGATAACAATATTAATAAAAAAATAAATTCTAAAAAAAAAAAAAAGGGACATGTTGATACAACAGCAGAAATAATTTCCATTGAACCAGAAAATAATTCATTATGGTATAAATTGAAATTGATAGATCCATCACATATAAAATATGTTATACCAAAAGGTTATATTTGCGTTGATGGTACTTCGCTGACAGTATGTGAAGTAAATAATCAAGAAAATTGGTTTAGTGTAATGTTGGTTGCTTATACTCAAGAAAATGTTATCATGCCAACTAAAAAAATTGGTGATAAAGTGAATCTTGAAGTGGATATGTTGGGAAAATATGTTGAAAAATTAATTGAATCAAAATTATTCAGTAGCATTAATAGTAGCAGTAGTAATGAAAATGGTGAAAATTATATTGAAAGAATTGTAAAAAAATATTTGGACGAAAAATTTAAATAATCAAATGAAAATATAACATGACGCAAATACCACAATAAAATCAAATGTTTGCATTATATACGTACGTACCTGGAAATTTACCTTCTGATTTCTCTTTAATTTTAAGGTTATGATTTTTTATGATTTGTTGATTTAATCGCACCCCAAAATTTTTATAATGATAAAAAGAAAAACTTTGAATAATGGGTTGTTTAACGGATTTTTGTTGTACATGACTACACATCAACTGTCCTGTGCTTGATTAAATGGCTTGTACGGTTTTTATCTTACGATCTTACATGATCCGTGTGATCGTGACGTTTTATTAATTCTTTCCCAACTATTTATTTGCCAATCAACAATCAATCAGATTATGTGTGAAAAAAAAAATGTGTGGTCATGAAAACAAGTTTTCTTATTAGCAAACATAATAGCACATAATAACATAAATGACACGTTCAATATCTCTCATTCCATCTTTCACGGCAAGCCTGCCCACAATTAAAGAAATTTTGTCTTTCGTAATATATTGTGATACATCATAATTAAAAACGTTGATTCAGACCAATAGTGAATTTTTCGTTATTTATGAATGATATTGAAATGAACAAAGGATGCCTTTTGTTTTTTTACCTTATAAAAGTTTTCTTGATAATAACAGGGGAAGGAACTCACACACACAAACACGCACACACATATCATTTTCGTTAGTAATTTGAATTAGCAAAGAACAGATAATTTAACATTCTCGAAAATAGAAAATTCCTTCCACAAAAATCAAGTTTAATTTTTTTCGACATCAACATGCCATGTTTCCACTCGGCACGATCACATCATGGTCAATAGTAATAGAGACTATATGATACAATTAATCCTGATTGAATGTTGCACCGGATTGATTTTTGTCATTTTCTTATTATGTTAATGATTATTATTGTTACTATTACTATAATGTTATTCATTGTTAATTAATATAATTATTGTTGAATAATCTAGATTATTTTTTTGTTTTTGTTTTTCGAATTTGGATATCTCCATTTGAATCAGTATAAAAATTAGTATTAGCGACAAAGACATCAGATTATGTAGAAAGACTATATACCATTTTCCCATTTTTAATAATAATTATTGTTAACATCGAAGGAAATATTTTTTATAAATAATTGTAACTCTAAATCAAGTAAATTTAACTTTTACCAATCACTACTTTCTCTCCAACATTCGCTCATTCGTTCACTCGACAAACATTAAGCCATGAAATTTATCTCTACAACTTTTGTGACTTTTTTACTTTGTACTATTATTTTCGTTGATTCATTGGTTGAATCAACGCCAATCGATAGTAATAACGTGTAAATTTAAATTGTTTTATAAATTATTTTATAACTTACATATACATACACTATATACATATTAAGATATATATATATGTATATATATATATTTTCTGTAGAGCAAAACCAGAAATCAAACATTCTGGTAATCGAAGAATATAGCCGTTGCAACCACTAGTTAATTTGAATAATAGGAGTAGTTGGAGGCAAAATAATTTATCACTTATTAATAGCCAATGAATGATATAAAATAATAATAATAATATAAATAAAAGTTACAAACGCATCTGATAATGCATTCGATATGCGTGAAATGCTTTATAAATTACAAGGCACTAGGGAAAATCTAATATTGGAATTTATTTCATCCTAGTGGTGGACTAATTTCCTTGTTCGACAGACAGATTTAACTTTCTCTTGCAAGTTAGTTATCTTATTTTGTAAAACTTCTTTTTTAATCAGAGGACATGATAATCATTTCTACAACTTTTCCCAATAATTTTGAGCTATATATAACATGTTTGCGACAATACAGATGTTCATATTGTAGACATAGCCTTGAATGCATGCATTGTCGATGTCCATTTTGTGGATTGACTACGTTTTTTATTCTTTTATGGCCAGGTACATATTCTTTGATGTGAGAAGATTCATTTTTGGTGGGAATGGTTAGTGTCGTCTCAATTGTAATGAATGACCAATTATTTTGTTAAATTTCTCTAGCCAGTATCTTTTCGATATTAGGAGTGTGTCGAATAAGTGTTGTTCTGTATATATACATTGACTTGTGTTGATGGTTTGCGTGCGCGTGTAGGTTCTTGAGAAAGTTGGTAAAGTGGAATGAGAATGAGAAACCCGAGGCTTTATTATTATAGTGTAGCCGCACTTGAATGAAACACATGATGGGTTGATATGCTCGACAGTATCATGTACTTTGTCATTACATTGATAATTCTATGAAATCGCACAAGCCTAGTTTATTTATCCAGTCGCAGAGTATGTTGGATCTGCCCTAGAAAGACCAGCTCAAGGACCAGTCTTCTTGGCCCCTGGTCCTCGAAAAATGAAATGGTGTAAATATGTAAATAATGATAGTATTCATTTAAAAATTCAAATACTTGAATATTTTGTATGATGTACTAAAATTTAGAAAGTTATTATTATCGTCACCTTATATAAAAACAACAATAATAAAGTTTGAATTATTTGCATTTTCGTTATATTACTATTAACCAATTATCATCAAATATCAGAAAATGAAACAACTTTAAATACAAATGCTTATTTTTGTCACAAATTATTACTAAAGAATTTTGGTAGTCTTTTTTTTTTAACTGATCGTTCTTTCCTAAAAAATCTAAATTTTCATTATTTTTCCATCCGTAAAAACTTTTTTTTTGGGGAAAATTGTCTTTGATTAACTATTCTCATGGTCGCAATTATTTACTTTTTAACAACCAAACCATGCCCATTGAACCTGAGACTACAACTATCGACACTTTCTCTATTAATGTTCAAAATGAATTAGCATGTTATTTGAGCACTCTACTAGAAGATGAAACTGAACCTCTTGATTGGTGTTATGCACAAAGAAAAGAATATCCTATTCTTAGTCTCATTGCTCATGACTATTTAACAGTACAAGCAACAAGTGCAGCCTCAGAGAAATCTTTTTCAACTGCCAGATGAACAATCAGAAGTCAAAGAAATTGATGGGATCCTGATACAGCTCATACAAGCTTGTTTTTAAACCAAAAAAAACTCACATCCCTCTCCAAAATACTGGTCCAGGACTGGTCTTTTTGACTGGTTCAAGGACCACATTAAGAACCGGTCCCACAATCCCCCAAAAAAGACCAGTCATTTGGGATTAAGTCCAGACCGAACTGGACCAAACCAACTCTAGTTGCAGAGATGTTTTTCCTAATATTGATGAACATCAACATCATCATCATTGTTTATATTAATTTTACACAAAAATCAATAGCATATTTTATAAACTTTTTTATACCCTGAACTACTATTCCGAAATTATGTAATGAGCTGTCCTTATTTCTCACAAATCACATCCAATGTTTTAAACTCAGACAGGGCATAAAACCATTACTCCCTGGGTCCCCAAGACTTATTTATATGAGGACCGGGAAAACTCTATAGTATGTGACCGCCAAATTAAATGGCAAATCATATTAATGCGAATCTTAGTTTTTTATAATTATGCGAATCAATTTTCCGAACACATTTAAAAAATTATTAATAATGCGAATCGAAATCAGCCAAGGACATATGAAATTTATCTTTATTAATTAAAAATTCCAAACGCCAAGTAGCTTCAGCTTTTAATGCTCTTTTAAACTCTTGTAGTTCAGATTTAGAAAGTTTTCTTCGAGAAAAAGATTTGTTTGCAGGAAATTTTTGAGGAAAAAGTTGCTTTGCAATTATTTCAGGTTTTTTACCACCTCCAAAATTAGCTGGACTATTTATAACATAATCAATATACTCCAAGTCACAAAGACCCTTGCATATATGTAGATTTTGATCTATATTATTATCATCAATGATATGTTCTTCATGGTTACTTTTTGTAAAGAATGCTTTGACACTAGGTTGATTATTTATTAAAAAATTACAATTATTACTCTCAGAATGTCTTTTAAAGTTTGCAACTTGATAATTGATTCCAAGTGAAATAATTTGACCATATTTGCAAATAACTTTTTTAGCATTGACAAATTCTTGAAAGTTAGTGTATGTAGTAAAATGTTGTTGGTGTGAATCATAAGGAATTCTTTTACTATTTTTAGTTTGAATTTTCATTTTTTTTTTTTTTTTGTATGACCAAGATAAATTTTTTTTATTAATAATGCGAATTATAGTGTAACCGATGACATTTTTCATTTCTCTATGTTTGCGAATTCAGAGTAACTGAGGACATTTTTTCCTTCAAATTATATAAAGGCGGTGACCTTTTCCATTTCCATTAATCAAATCTATAGTGAGGCAGTCACTTTTTTTTTTTTAAAGTACTTTCGAATCATAGTGTTGGTGGTCACATTCAATAGAGTCTTCCCAGTCCTATTTTGCAGTTATGCCCTTTTCTATTGTCCATGCCCCAATTATTCATATTTATATTTCAAGAACTTATTCAGCTGATAAATATTTACTTTAAATTATTAAGGGTAGGCTCCATGTGTAACACATATAAAGTAAATTATGCGTGATTAGATCTTTACTATCCCTATTTTTGTCAACTAAACAATTTCCATTTATAGAAACAAGGTTTAAAGAATGTGGGATAAAAAAATCTGATTGATTTTATTTCCCAAATTAAGAATATTTTGTTTGCAAATACTTGAAAAATTTTTTTGCAAATTTTGGTGCAATAAAATTCTGTAGATAAATAGTAGTGGCAGAATGAGCAGAATGCAAAAAAGATGAGCAACCAAAAAATTTTTTTCACTTAATATAAAACTTTTTTAAGAGAGTATAAAAAGTACAAAACATGTTTTCATAATATAAATACCATATTTAATAAAATCAAGGAAGTTTTTTTCACAAATTTTGTTTGATTGGTTAAAGACTTGTACTAGTCACAAGTATACATGAAGTCGAAATTAAAACTCTAAAGTCGAAATGCTTTGACTCGAGGCAACTACATATATAGTAAAAATCAGTTTCAACCTTATTTCAACCCTATTTTGACCAGATCTGCAAATGGTCAAAATAGTTTCAACTTCATGTATAGTCACAAGTTTTTTGAATTCTTAAAAAATTTAAAATCCTGCGATCGGCACTAATTAACATATGTGTAACTTTATTGCATGGAGCCTACCCTTAAAAGAATATTTCAAAGAATTTATTATACATATAAATAAATACTTAATATTCATATAAATTTAAACTTATAAAATACCTTTTGCATTATCTCCATTTTGAATTACTATAATAATAAAAATTGACTTTTTGTTAAAAAACTTATTAAAAGAATATTTCAAAGAATTTATTATACATATAAATAAATACATTCTAAATCAGTTGCACATTGAGTTACCATTATATGTCTATTTGAAAATATGCTTTGATTGGCTTCAGCCATTTCAAAACCTTATCATTATAATTATGTATAAGTTAAATTTCAGTTATGTAAATGAAAATGAGTTATGTTGATTCTTACTCAACCAATTTCAAAACTGATTCTAAGCTAATTCTGAATGTACACTCACTGGACAAAAATATATGAACATTTGTTGATCATCAAAAATAATCGAGTGACTTTGACGTAATAAAACTA